GAAAAAACCGGGACATATTCTTTTCACAAAAAAAGAGTTGTAAAAGAGTTTGGTTGGCTTCTTCCCAAAATAGTAGACCAAAAAGGCAATAAATATTGAATTGGATAAATCACTCAGATTATCTTATAAATGCATTTTACTTAATTATTTACTATAAATTATAATTATAAAAACCATTTATTTTAATACACGGTTTAAAAGTCTATGACATGAAACAAAAACAATAAAGAGTCACAAATTGCTTATATAAAGTCGAGATTGTTGGAAGAAATGACAAAATGAGAGAGCTATTGGAAAGAGAGAACATTTGAGGAATATTGGAAACTATGTAAAACAATAAATGGGAAACGAAGTGGCTAAGGCAAAACCATTAGCAAACCCACACACAAGTGTGCTGCTCAGCGACGCGCTTCACGTCGACAAAGAAACACTCCTTTTTAGCGACGATATTCTGGAACTCAACAAAAAGTATCGTGACGATATCTTCATCACGAACCTCCAAAACTTCAAGCTTAGTTTCAAACTCGAGCAAATATTTGAGAAGGACTTCCAGCTCAAATTCAAGCCAGAAAAGGGAACAATTGGACCAAAAGGAAAGAAGAAGATTAAAGCTTCATTAATTTTAAGACAGAAAATTAATAAGAATTTCAAAGTCAATCTCAGCGCTGAAACACAGGGACAAATATTCTTGAACGTCAGATTGAGATCAGATTCAGGAGTTTTTGGTGTCGACCCAGAAACACTGGAATGGCTCCAACATCCAACTCTTAAATTCACTCTTCCACAAATACTTATAACATTGGACGTCGCTTTTCGAGAGAAAGGTGGGTATACATCTGAAGGTGTTTTCAGACTTGCTGGAGAAGCAGGAATGGTTAAACGTTTAAAACAGTTGTTAAACAACTCAAACGGAACGATCACGAATGACATGATCGGAGCAACCGTCGACGAGATATCCAATTTGATAAAGCTGTGGTTCAGAGAGCTACCAAAGCCCATTTTGAATGTTTTATCATCAGACCAAATTTTCTACTCAACAGAACCAACGGAAAGTTACAAAGCGTTCCAAACGCTCAACGAAAGATCGCGAAATCTTCTCGGGTGGCTTTTTAATTTGATGATCGAAGTTTCCAAAAACAGAGACACAAATAAAATGACTGTTCAGAATTTGGCTATTGTGATTGCTCCAAATTTGTACGAACCAGAAACAACGGATCCAATGGAAGGACTGATGATGTCTCAAAAGGCGGTACAATTTGTCCAGAACTGTCTTGTTTACATCGAATCTAATAAAGAAGAGAAAGAGCAATAACATTTTAGTGTACAAATGTTTTTGTAAGTATGTCTTTTACCGCTTCTTTTGGTTTTTGTTTCAAACATTCAAGAAACTATATATTTACCATAATTATAGTATATTCACCAATTAGATATGATATTATTATTAATATATTACTAAACTAGATTATCTCAATTGTACTAAAGAATAATTAAAAAACTTATTAATAAACTAAACAGCGACCAGTATAGTAAATAGTAGAATGAAAACTTATAAAAGAGACAGTTATTTATTGGATGAACTTTATCGAGCTACCTGCATCAATAGAAATGCAAAACGAGGCAGCTTCGAATACAATCAGTCTAAGCACAATGCCGGAA